ATATTGATGCTCTAAGTTGTGCAAAACGTTTAAAATTAGAAGGTAAGATATCTCAAGACATTTGCTTGATTTTTGATGAAATGTACTTGCAAAAATGTGAGGAGTATTTTGCTGGAGAGATGATTGGTAGTGATGAGTCTGGAGAAATGTATAAGGGAATAGTTTGTTTTATGATAGTTGGCCTGAAACAAAACATTCCATATGTGATCAAAACGTCTCCTGAAAAAACAATCAATGCTGAATGGTTGAAAGAAGAAATTTTTGAATGTCTTCGTATTTTAACTGAATGTGAATTTAATGTTAGAGTTATTGTGTGTGACAACCATTCTGCTAATGTTTCTTGTTTTAAAAAAATCCTTTGTGCATCGAATCAACAAGCTGAAGATTTGTTTTTTATTTACAATCTAAAAAAAATTTACCTCTGTTTTGATGTTGTACATCTTATTAAAAACATCAGAAATAATTTGTTAAATTGCAAAAGATTTTTATTTCCAGATTTTAACTTTATTGGATTTAAAGATCCTATAATTGTATGTGGGGGAGAAATTAAATGGAGTACCTTCCGCAATATTTATGAAAAAGACCTCACTCTTGATGCTGGTTTGCGTAAAGCACCAAAAATAACAATGAAAGTGTTACATCCTGGCAATTTTAAACAAAATGTTTCTTTAGCACTTGCAATTTTTGATGAAACTACATCAGCAGCGATTCACTCATATTTTCCAGATCTTAAAAGTAGTGCAGATTTTCTTACATTATTTAACAAGTGGTGGGTTTTATCAAATTCTAAATGTCAGTATTCAGCATGTAATATTTTAGGTAATGCAGTCGTTTCTGGTGATAAAAAACCTGAATTTCTTCGGGAAATGGCACATTGGATTGAAGTTTGGCAATCACAAAAGATACCAAACTGTGAGAAGTTTACTTTAAGTGTTCAGACAGCTGCAGCACTAATAAGAACACTTAATAGTCATGCCTCATTGATCGAGGACTTGCTTAATGATGGATATCACTTTGTTTTAACTGCGAGATTTCAAAGTGACCCATTAGAAAGGAGATTTGGACAATATAGACAAATGAGCGGTGGAAGATTTTTGGTAGGTTTAAAAGATGTCACTATTTCTGAAAAAATATTAAAAATCAAAAGTATAGTTAAAGAAAGTATTAACTTCGATGATAGTTTAAAAGTGCCTGAGTCAGAAAATAATTTAACAGATTGGAAAAACTTTCTTCTTGATATTGATGAAGCTCAGTGTACTCCAGAAATCATGACACTTGCACCAGAAAGTAGGGAAGTAGGTGCTTATATTGCTGGTTATATAGCAAAGAAACTTAAAAAACGTTTTGGTACATGTTGTAAAGAATTTTTATGTTGTGTCAATATTGATGAAAGCAATCCTGATCATACTTATTTAACAATTATTTCTAGGGGTGGTCTCACTATTCCTTCACCATCACTTTTGGATTATGTTTGCACAACCTTTGCTATGATTGACTACTTTTATAAAAAAATAATGAAATTTAGTTTACATGCACGACAAGCTTTAGAATATTTGTTAAACCACTTTTATGACTCTTTTCAGACTTTTTCTTGTCCCATGCATGAGAAAACTGGGATAAAACTTGCTGGAAGAATTGTTGTTAACATTTTTCTTAATAATAAAAGAATTATCTCTACCAGTGAAGTAGCTGTTGATCATGTAAAATCTTTTAAAAAAAGAAAATTTGAAAAAATTTAATAAATTATATATAATTTTATTTTTAAATGAAAAAAGAGAAACATTTAAATATTTTTTATAACTGTTCTTGTTTCTTACATCGTTTTTACTAATACTAAATTTTAAAATAAACACTATTTATTTCTTAATAAATGTTCGTTTAATATCTAAAATTATGAATAAATACAACTTTTGTGGACTTTTTAAATGTAGAAAGTAAAATAATATTGAAAATGTTCAAAACGTATTAAATTTTTGAAACATTACGATTTTAAAAACTGGCCTTCTATTTTTTTCTTCAAAATGTAATTTATCCGGCCGTATAAGTAAAGTAGGCCATGGTTTAATGTTTTATGCTTTATGTATTTGTGGAAAAATGTCTTATCCCTACCTATCTTTAAAGTTCTCTTTTGTGAAAAACCAATAAATAAATATACTCTTAGAAATAATAAATTTTTGCATAAACTTTTTTGTCGAACAAAGTTTAACCAGTATGGTATTGCTTATCGTGCGCCATTTCTTTGGAATAAAGTTGTTTTGCCAAATTTTGATATATTTTACACTTTTCCAATTTTCAAACATAAACTCAAAAATTTTATTTTATTTTCCGATGACATAATAAGGTTCTTCTAATTGTAATTATGTACCTTTATTTAGTACTTTTTAATTGTAAAATACGTTATATGTAACGACTCTTTTTGTTTTACTTCTCTTTTTATTTTACTTTTTATATGTAACGACTCTTTGTTTTACTTTTTATCTTTTTGTTTTACTTTTTACTTTTACTGTTTATTTTATAAATAGATTATATACATTGTAAATAATTATGCTAAATGCTTGTAAAAGGTTCCGATGATAAGATCAGTACGATCTTCTTTCAGAAACCTTGTTTGTATTTGTTAAAGTATTGTATTACGACAAATGTAAACTTAAAAAGTAAAAAAAAAAAAAAAAAAAAAAAAAAAAAAAAAAAAAAAAAAAAAAATAAAGACTATTTGCCAGAATAGACTAGAATAGACATAATAGCTTATAAGGTAAGCGCTAAATTAAAGAAAATAACCAAATCGAAGCCATTGCTATTGTCAGTATTCAAAGAAAAATCTTCTAAAATAACAAACAAGGACATCATATTGTTGCAGCTTAAACAAAAAAAAAACGTCCAAATTAAGCTGCCAACTTGGTAACTTTTTTTTATTAAGGTGCCCCAAGAAGACCTATCAGTTTTGTCACAGAGCACCGCGGATGTGCTTTTAACCAGAAAGTTCACGCCTCCTTCCTTCCCGTGACGCGAAAATATGTCCAGAGCTCGTTTCGAGCCTGGATCTCCTGCTTCTAAAGCAAGCGCTCTGACCATTGCGCCACGGCCTTACGATTGGTTTACGGCAAACCAATGAAAGTGTTAATGTTCAAGATATTTTGTGACATGTGACCCTAAAAAAAGTTGAAATCAGCCATATTCGTTGTGTATCAAGTAAACTTACGTAATTTAAGTTAATTTAAAACTAATATTACATTTAATTAAATACAGCCATTTTTTTTCTCTTAAAAACGTAAGGGATCATACAGCTGTACTATAAAAGTGTAATCGACAAAAAACCTCATGCTCATGGCGATAAACACTCGCGCAACAAACTAATTTCAATGAAAAAAGAGCCTTAAAAAACGCAACAACAAATTAACTAAAGCATTACTTTTAAATAAAACGTTTCCAAATGTTTTTTATTGGTGAACTGGCGAAAGGTGTTGTGTCAGTATCGTCAAATCAAATGAGCAACTCTGATATGTACTTGAATCATAAGCATCAGCCTATTCAAACTATCAAAAAATAAAACCAGAAATTTATTTATTGTCCACATGACAATGAAGTCAATCAGACCTGTTATAGATTAATTGAAAAGTCTGCAATGCACCTCAATGCTGCTGTATGGCGATTATAATCTGAGTTACATATGGTATGAGACCTCCCTCCTAAACGCCTGTTAAAAAACTGGGAGGCGTGTATCATTAGAATGTACTACTTGATTGGATATTAAATTTAAAAAAAAAAGAAGACAAAATGTTGTGAAAAAAAAAAAAAATCATATTTATAAAATTATTGATCTTAAGTCATTGCAGAACGTAAAATGGATGGATATTTGATTGAAAAAAATTGAACGTTGAAAAGTGCAAACTGATAAATGTTGGTAAAAAGAATCCAAAAATAAATTATAGTATGACCCATGACGGCAAAGTTCATTTGATACAAAAGTAAGTAAACAAGATTTAGTCGTTATTAATTCACCCGACCTTAAATGGCATAATCAAGTGAGTTCAACGACAGCAGAAGCGCAATGAACTTTGGGTCTTATTGAACGTACATTTACATATTTTGAGTTTGCTATACCTACATGGGAAACTTATTTACGACAGAATATTACAGAGTTAGAGAAAGTGCAAAGTTAAGAAAATTAATTCCAAGTATTAAAAACATGTCATGCTAAAATAAACTAAAAGCAATGGGTTTAAAAACAATGGAGAAAAAAAGAGCAAGTAGAGATCTAATACAAAAGATTCAAATAAGTAAATAAAAACAGACCAAAAAATTGGTACAAAAATTGGACCAAATAAGTTGCTGCAAAATTTAAAGATGTTTAGCATCATTTTTTAGTCGTTAAGATCCGGCTTCTTTGGTACGGAACAACAGATTCAGAATAGATTAATAATACGTACCATCATGTTTACAAAGATTTCTTCACTAACCAAGAGTGTAATAATTGGAATAATTAAAACCGTAGAAGCAATATCGTAGAAATGTTTTAAAAGCGCAAATTGACACATTTTTTTTTATTAACTTGTAAATATTACTATAATTATTTATATATAATTTTTTATATATTAATTATTAACTTTGAATTATTTTTGTTATGCTTTGTAGTTATATAATAAATAATATATATATATATATATATATATATATATATATATATATATATATATATATATATATATATATATATATATATATATATATATATATATATATATATATATATTGATTATATATATATATAATTTGATTGTAATAGTTTGGTAATTTGATAGTGAATAAAACTCAAGATAATTTTGTAATAAAACCAGTTTTATACTTGATGATAAACATAAACCGATAGCTTATATGCAAATATTATCTTCATCAAGCAAAATGTTGACACAGCGTGATTATGTGTGAGTGGGTTTATGAAGCTATTGTTACATGTAGTTTCTGTTTACATGCACTTTGCTCTTATTTTTCCTATTAAAAAAACAATAAATATTACTTTGCTAATCAAGATTAAACACTTTTAATTTTCTTTACGAAAAAAAAATATTTTTAATAAGGTAGGTACAATTTTATTATGAAACAAGGATTTTGCTTCATAAACGATTTTCATATGATAGGTAGTCTGTAAAGGCAAAATGTTAATAATTTTTTATTGCACTTAATTATCAGATTTTTATTAAATCTTATAGTAAACTGTCTCATAGTTATCTTCGGATAATTTTTTAATCAGATAAAAACTTCAAATATATGCTGCTACTATTGACTAGAAAAGTAGCAAAGTAGATATTTCTGATCGGGTTAATATTCTTTTTGGTAATAACTTGCCAACAAAAAGTATTCTTCCTTTGTGCCTTATTCATACATTGAACATTTATTTCAAATGTAATTACCTAAAAATTAATGAAACCTTTATAAACAATATAATGTAGAATTAGTGTTATTTTTCTACATTTAGTAAAATTCATCTAGTTCAATTTTTTTAAACATCAACTATATAATGCTTAAAAATTACATAATCATGACAATTACGTAATAATGAAAATTATATAAAACATGAAAATTACATAAAACATAAAAGTTACATAAAACATAACAGATTTATTAATTAATTTAAACTTAAGCTTTAATTAAAAACAACTTAATTTAAACTTAAATGAAGCCTTTTAAAAGAAACCTCAAGTATTGTTTTAAAAAGACTCTCGTTTTTTTACTTAAATATTAAGCAAAAAAATGTTGCCAACCGATTGGCAACGTTTTTTATTTTGATCAATATCTTTGTTGTAGCCAAAAGACTCTTGTTTAGACTCTTGTTTGTAGTCTAATAATAATTATCGCTTTCGCCATAACCTTTTTTGTTTTTGTTTACGTGATTGTATTTACGATGTCTGTTTTTGGTTCTACCAGTGTACCTTTTTTCAGGTTAGTTAATGTAAAAAAATATCAATTCTGTAACTACTGAAATAGTCCGAATGACCTCACAGCAAAATCGTAAATTTATTTTTTAACACAAGAAAAATATTTCTTGTTTTAAGAAATGTATTGCGAGGTAGCAATTTGGTAATTAAAACAAGAAACATATTTCTTATCTTGAGAAATAAGTTGCGGGATGGGGAATTTATTTCTTAAAATAAGAAATATATTTTTTGTTCGAAAAAAAAATGTTTCTTAATGAGAAATGCAATTTTGCTGTGCTCTTGTAAACAAATAAATTTCACTTTTTTAGAGAATGAGTTAAAAATCAGAAGTAGCTTGCTTGATTTTATTTAAAATAAGTTTATAAAATTAACTTTTATGCTAATAACAAAGTTTGGTGATAAATATTATTATCAACTTCATTACTGTTTTTAAAATAAAAAGCACTATATTGTCTACGTAAGTTAAAGTTAGAAACTTTGATTTTAACTGTAAAGTATAGATTACAAATAATGTCATATTTGAAATATATGATTTATCTTTTAGGCAGTAATTATATTTGTTCTATACATCAGTGTTTTCTGTTGAGAACATTTGAAAGTACTTTGTACTGGTAATGCCTCACCAGAGGCGTCACGATAAAGTAGACAGAGTTGACTAAGTCCCAAAGGCTATCGAGTTGTTAACAGATTGAGGGTCATCGAGTTTATTAAAAGTACTTCTTTCGTTTACACAGAGCCTCGTTTACATACTGTCCGTGTTTATAATCAAAAAAATAAAATATACAAAAAACGTTAAAAATCAGGGGCGGACTGGCCAAATTATTATGATGTGGAAAAATATTTTTAACGGCCCTGTAGGCCAACGAAAAATGAGGAAAAGCAGCAAAGATAACAGACGTAAATTACAAAGTTATGCTTAATTTATAAATATATACATTAATGAATAAATATCGAACAGAAAAAATTTATTAGAATACATATACGTAAAAACAAAGTACTTAACAACGGCCCATGTGGAATAGTCCACATCTTCCACATGGCCAGTCCGCCCCTGTTAAAAATACGTAACTTTTGTCAAATAATAAAACGACTTTTATATTGATTTAAAAATAAAGAAAGTTTTGTGTACTGATAAAAATATATTTGATACATGTTTACCAATATACATTTAGTGCTATTGGAAACGTCTTTTCTAATTTTAAAATTACCTTTAAAAAAAAAATATTTAAAGTCTATTTATTTTTATCGAATCTGTTTAAAATTTCATTTACAAATTTAACTATATTTATTTATTTAAACTTATGTTTTCTTTTACCTATTTTCTAAATTAATTTAAAAATATTTATGTAAGTTAAGTAAAAGAAGTTTATTTACGTTGAAAACATAAAACAAAAAATGTGATTGGCTGGAACATTTTTCCAAGCATTTTAGTTCTTGCTAGATTTATGTACAGGTAAGCAATCATAAATATAAATAACTTGTTGTTTGCAAATAGTTTATTTTTAATTATTTGTTAGATATTGCAGAAAACAAACTTAGTGAATTCACATATCTTAAACAACGTTATTAATCGCAGGAATAAATAACATGATATATTTTATCTAAATTATTGTTTTTATATTTTGTTACCATTTATTACCAGTTCAAACCTTTTTATAAACAACTGAAAAAAAAATTGAAAAATGTAAATATATTCTTTGAATAATCTAATATATAACTACCTAGGTCTGATTTCCTGGTTTCCTGGTAATAAATATGCGTGTTTTACTCATATAGCCTTTAAAAACGATTGAAAAAAAAAAAAAAATTAAAAATACAATTTGAATGATTTATTTATACTTATGTTTTCTGTTACCTATTTCCTAAATTAATTTCAGCACATTAAGTTATATAAGTTAAGTAATAAAAGTTAAATTTTAAACTTTAAAAACTTGGGTAAAAAAAAACTTGGGTAAAAAAAAACTTGGGTAAAAGCAAATCTTTGAAGTAAAAATTTTATAATGGCTTTAGGGTTAATTTGACTCATAATTAAATTTTTACATTACCTTTTTTATGTGTTGAAACTGCCCAAAGAATTTGCTCTTTAAGTAAAGTATTAAAGTAACTATCTTACAAACCATTTTCTATTAGGTTTTATGTATGTCGTCTTGACGCTTAATATCAATTTTTGTGTTGATTTTTTCAATTTTCACTTATAATAGTAAAATCTATTGCTTATTATATATATAGTATAAACTCGCTTTTCATAAAACAACAATAACAACAAAATACACCTCGTTCAAACCAACCTCTTATTTGGCCAGAGCCTGCATCTCACTTGAGCCTCTTATTTTTAAGTCGTAACCCCCATGGCCCATTTAAATTACAACTTGTACAAATTTTACTTTAAGTAGGCTATGATAAGCCACAGCCGCTTCATCATCAAAATAAGAAAAATAAATTAATCATAAAACCATAAAAAAATAAATAAAAATAGAATGGGAGAAAAAATAAGGGAGATAATATTTTGGGAGCAATAAAAACAGAAGTTTGTTTTTTTTAAATCATTTAATTGACTATCTCAGTTAGATTTAAAGAATAAAAGGCTTTAAATGGAATAAACTTAAAGACATAAGAAATTTTATTTAATAAAATAATGCCTGCATTAAATTATTTTAACTATCATATTAAAAATTTTCTTTATTTATGAAACTTATACGAATTTACTGATTTCTGCATATTAAAATTAAGTTATCGATATGTTATAACATATCGAATAAGAAATAATGCATAATAATGAGAGAGAGAAAAAAAGAATAAGAAATAATGCAGAATAATGCATAAATGCATTATTCTTTAAATATCATATTTTAACATAGCTAAATTTAGAAATTTGAATAACTTTTACTACTTCAAGAAATTTAAAACGGGTCAGCTTATATACCTACCGCGTTCATTTCTAACAAAAGTTATTTTTTGGAGCTATTGGGTAAAAATAGGCACAAAAAAAAAATTTTGTTTCGTTTAGAAATAAAAATTTTTTTATGCAGTTGACTCTAGATATCTCGAACTCTAAGAGGGCCGGAATAAAAATTTAAGATATCAAAAGAACAAGATATCAAGAGGCTCAAACAATTGCGCAAGGAACTGGAAATAATGTTCGAGATATCGAGTAGTCGAGATATCGAAAGTTAATTATATAAAAATCGCAAAAAAAAAGTATGAAAGCATAATTATTTATTAAATGTTGTAATGCAGCATACTTCCTCACTATTATAATAAAAAACGTGAAAAAACACCAGAATAGAGAGTTTTTAGATTCGAGGACAACAATTTGGATTGACGCCCCCTGACTCCAAACACCAATCGATAACCGGTTTTTTTATACTTGCGATAGCAATTTTTCAGAATTTTTTCAAAAAGCAAACATTTATATGCTTATATTAATGTGAAAAATATATACGAACTAAATATTTTTAATATTTTATGTTTTATGTTTAAATGTAAAGAAAATTTATCTCAAAGTGTATTTATAAATCTCTATAATTTGAAACCAAAAAACAAATATGAACTTCGTGATAGTAAAAATATTCAAGAGCCGTTTTGCAAAACAAAAATTGACCAGTTTTGTATTTCTTATCGTGGTCTATTTCTTTGGAATAAAATAGTTTTACCTAACTTTGATTTTTCTTTGAAATGGTCTTATTCCTCCTTTAAAAAGAAAACAAAAGAAATAATCTTTTCAACACAAAATATATTTATTTATTTTTAGTATTTTAAGTTATTTGATATTTTTGTCGACTGTGTGATGAATATTATTTAAACAATATATGCTGAATACTTTATATTATAATATTGTTCAATATTAAGAATGTTATATATCCATATTATAAAATATTATGTTAAAACTTGCTTAACATTTGAAGAATATTCTAACGCTTATGTAATTTTTAATATTTGTAAATTTTCTACCTTTTAATTCGTTATATAGATTGTAAAGGGCTTCATGATAAGATCATGTGATCTTCTGGAAGTCCTACCAGTAATATATTCATTGTAAAAAAGGATGTTTTGCTCAAGCTTTTCCTTTTGCATCCTTATTGTCAAATAAATATTTTGGCTCCATGTTCCATGTTTTTTAAAAAACTGAAAGCAAAAATCCCCTAAATCATTATCATTTTTATGTGTTTCTTCGTGTACTTTTGCTAGGAGTATATTAAGAAACAATATATATATATATATATATATATACATATATATATATATATATATATATATATATATATATATATATATATATATATATATATATATATATATATATATATATATATATACATATATATATATATATATATATATATATATATATATATATATATATATATATATATATATATATATACATATATATATATATATATATATATATATATATATATATATATATATATATATATATATATATATATATATATATATATATATATATATATATATATATATATATATACATACATATATATCTTCTTTTTTAGAACTATACTAAACAAAAAAATGAAGTTCACTTTGTTTCTCATATTGGTAATAATGGCTATTTATTATGTTGAAACTCAATGTAAGTATTATACTTAATACTTTTTTTTATTTTTGATATTTGTTATTATTATTTTTTATGTTTACCAATATTGTAATTGTTAGCATCAATAGTAACAACATCATCAGCTAGAAGATTTTTAATCAATAAGTATAATCAGCAATGTTACTAACACCAGCAATTTGCGAAAATAGTTATTTTTTAAGTTCAAACTTCCCCGGTTCATTAAACTATCACATTTGTTTCTGTTACATCCCTAAAAATCATATGAAATAAATAAACTGAAACAAGTAAAAAATATGTTGTAAATAGTCAATACACGGTCGTTTAGGTATAAGCAAAAAGCGCTATATTTAGGTACGCTTGCGTAGGAAAATACGAAAAACTTTTAAACTTTTAAAATGGCTACGGTTCTTAACTACAGAGAATATTTTATATGACAACAGATTATTTTTTAATTAATTTCTAAAAAGCCAATGATGTAGCTTTATTTTTGACGTAAATCAATATAATAATACAAAAATTTCACAAAAATATAAATAAATAGATGTAACAAAAATCTTTGTGCGCTTAAACTTTATTTTTATTTAATACCTTTTTAGTGTAAATCATAGATTTTTTTTATTTATTTGAAATGAATTTTCTAAAAATCTGACTGTAGGATTTCAATAATTTTTTTTTAAAACTTCAGATAAATATGTTCTATATGTATGATGTTATTCTGGTCATTGCTTTAACCTTTTTTCCATATAAAAATTTGTTTTTACTGTTATGACTATTTCCTTATATATCAAAAAGCAATTTCATTCATTATTTTGTTAATTTCTATTTTTCTGAATATGTATATATATATATATACATATATATATATATATATATATATATATATATATATATATATATATATATATATATATATATATATATATATATATATATATATATGCATATACAACAATCGATCGATTAGACTAACACCGTATCCTTAAAGGCATACTCACTGGCTTACTTAACCAGTTACAGCAAAACTTACTAACTATATTTTTATTTCTGCTGCACTATGTATGGTGTGGCAAAAATAAAAAACATAATAATTCCCAAAACTTTTTCTATAAAATTTCACATGTTCATATGCCTAAAATGTTTTGATTGATTTCTTGCTCTTAACGTTACGTTCCAATTATAGCATTTTGTGATCTCCCAGAAACTTCATTTTCATCAATTTTTGTTCACAAACAAGAGTTGGTAATTTATAAAATAGTTTTAATAAAGATTTGCACAATTCTTTAACATAAGTTGTGCAAAGACTGCTTGCAGATGAAACTTTTGCTCTGTATACTTTAGTAAAAAATCTATAATAATTATGTCACAAAAGCATTCAAGGCCGGCGCGATAGGGGTGTGTGGGGAGGTGTAACACCCCATCAATGATTTTTAGTCGGCAAACTGGACCCTTAGTCGGCAAATCGGTCCCTTTTAGACTAGTTAGTCGGCAAATGTGGCCCCTTTCGACATAGGTTAGACAGTCGGCAAATGTCGTAATGGGAGTCGGCAAATTTTGAAAAACGAGGACCTTTTTTTTTTTTTTTTTTTTTTAGTCGGCAAAAGTTGTAATGGCACCCCCACACGTGACACCTGCTCGCGCCGGCCCTGAAAGCATTACACAAATAATGATCAACCTGCAAATATAATATAGAACTACTTTTAGAACTGTTTTTTTCATTAGTTTATGTGTTGAAGATGTCCCGGACTTAACGCCATTCCTTTAAAAGTTATTTATATTTTGCACTTTGCATTTTGTTTAATTGTAAATAAGTAAGTCAGATAAATCAAATCAATATATTAACATAACTAAAAACTAAAATTATTATAAAAAAAATTATCCTACTAGTTAAATTGCTTAGAGATTAATATTAAATGAATATATATTATTATACTTTGGACTAAGTTTGTTGAATATTGCAACAAAAAAGTAAAAAATGCAGTAAAAATAAAAATAATAAAAGAATACTCTTATGTCAAAACTTTGCCTATTTTTTAAGTATAAATATGCAAATATATGCTTTTAAACAGTTTATATATGCAAATATATGCACATATACAGTTTATATTATATATATATATATATATATATAATATAAACAGTTTATATATATATATATATATATATATATATATATATATATATATATATATATATATATATATATATATATATATAATATAAACTGTATGTTATATATATGTTATTTATATATATATATATATATATATATATATATATATATATATATATATATATATATATATTTATGTTATATATATATTTATGTTATATATATATATATATATATATATATATATATATATATATATATATATATATATATATATATATATATATATATATATTTATATAGCCGGCGCTAGGGTATTTGGCGTCCTAGGCAAAAAAATTCCCCCCCCCCCCTTCCTTCTTCCGAAAAAAAATATTTTAATTTGAAAGAGCAAAAACATAAATATTAATTTTATTCAAAATAGCATAAACATTATAAAATGGTGGACATATTTAAGTATTAAATATTTATTTTTGACATTTTAGGATTTCAGCCTCTCAACTTTTATTTACAAGAATAAAAATATTTGAGATTTTATGACATTCAAAGAATAAAAGTAATATTTAATAGAATTAATGAAGACTATTCCTTATATTTAATCGCACCAAAATAATAATAATTAACCTAGCTTATCTCAAGAAATAATAATAAGTAATTTAGAATTAATCTAGAATTAAGAATAAAATAAGAAATAATCTAGAATTAAGAATAAAAATTGAAAACTTGGAATATAATATAGTTACAAAGAATAAAAAAACCTAATTCTGATTTGATGTTTAAATTATTAGAGAATTTGAATTTCAGAAACTAGAAAGTTCATTTGTATTTTGAAAATATGTAATAATAAAAATAAAAGCGTATTTAAATTTTTATTTTTCTGGCTTTTTTTGTTGCAAATGTTTTTACAATTTCTTTCAAATTTAATATTGATGATTCTTCGTGTTCTATCGAAATTATTGATAATCACACCAGTCGTTCTTGTAACATTGTCGACCTCAAATAATTTTTAATTATTTTTAACTTCGAAAAACTTCGCTCGCCACTTGCAACGGACACTGGAAGTGTTAATAGTATTCTTAAAGAAATACATATATTTGGTAGACAGTCAATTAAACGTTGTTCAACTATAAAAGTTAGTACTTCATGTGGTGTCATTTGTTGTGGGAGTCTTCCAGAAAGTACTTTGATTTCATTACAAAGATCCGCTGCACTATTATCTTTTTGAGAACCATGAGTTAAAATTTTTTCTAGATTTCTACAATTTTTCAATAATTCTGCTGAAGATTTTGAACTTATAGAATAAATATCATGAAGGAAGCCAAACATACTATTAATAATAGTATATTTGGTTTCCTTAATGATATTTATGTTTGGTTTGAACAAATGCGACAGTATAATAGTATTATACTGTCGCATTTGTTCAAACCTTTCCGCAATAGACTGTATAGCAGTGTCTAAAATTTTAAAATAAAATTCAACTTTAAATTTTTCTTTTGGATCTTGCAACGCTTCATCTTGTGTTTCATAATCGAACTGTCGCTTTTTTTTTCTTCTTCTGACATGTTTTACTTCAAAATTTGTTACTGTTTCCAATTCTTTTGCAATTTCAGCAGCATCAACAATAATTCTTTGAAAGCCTTCATCATTTCTCATTTTTACAAGTTTGTTTTTAGTAATATTTAATTGTTGTGTAGCTACATTCAAATCAACTTTCTTATTTTGTAATATTTTATTAGAAATATTAACTTTAAAAAGAATGTCGTACCATAAAACAAGGGCAACCATGAACTTGAATATGCAAATAGAATTTGCAAGCCCTTTAGCCTCATTTCGGGAAGAATTTCCTACTGATGTAGTTTGTAATCTTGGATCCTCAAATATTTGCATTAAAGTATCGTAAATTTTTCCGAGATTGTATCGTAATGGTTTTAAAGCATTAATGCGGCTTTCCCATCTTGTATCATTTAATGACTTGACAGTAAAATCTGGAAAATAGCTACGACAAACTTGCCAACGAAAAGGTGATCCCGAAAATTAACTATAAATCTGTTGCACCACACTAAAAAAACTTATTGCATGCAAGCTACACTTGCATGCATCATTCACAACTAAGTTTAGTGAACGTGCGCTGCATGGAATAAAAAACGCCCGAGGATTTATATCCAAAATTTTTCTTTGTACCCCATTCTCCTTACCCTTCATGTTGCTTCCGTTATCGTATCCTTGTCCACGGAGATTTTCAATTGGTAAATTAAAATTTTCCAATTGTTCAATTAATGTTTTTGCCATAAAACCACCTGTATATTTCTCCACAGGTATGAATCCTAAAAAATGTTCTTTAATTTTAACTAAACCCCCATCATGCGATGTTGGTGATGTTAAATCAAGAAAACGAATTATTATTGTCATTTGTTCTGTATGGCTATTATCTGGGGTGCAGTCTAAAATTATAGAATAATATTTAGCAAATTTTACTCTAGTCAAGATATTATCTTTTATAGCATTTGCTAGTATTTGTATTAATTCGTTTTGAATTTCTTTTCCAAGATAATGAGCAGTTTTAATTTCTTGATTTTTAATTTTCCGCACTTGTTCATTCATTAATGGGTCAAGTAAAGCGAGATACTCAACAAATTTTATAAAATTACCATTGGCGTTATTGTAAAGCTTTTCATTTGTTCCACGAAATGCCAAGTTTTGCGTAGCCAGTACTCTGACTAAGGCAATTAATCTTTCTAAAATTCGTTGCCAATATTGTTCTTTTTCCTTAATTTTTTGTTGGTTAATATGATCAATGGTTTTTTCTGTAGATAAACGTATATTAAGTTTTTTCCACATTTGAAAATTTACGAGATGTGAATTACTTTTTTCATGAGAAGAAAGAAGTGCTCCAATATTCTTCCAA